AAAATTCAAATAGCATGTGTTAGTGGATGTTAATGTTGACAATATGTATATATATATATACATACATACATACATACATGCATGCATGCATGCATCCATGCATACATACATACATTACATACATACATTACATACATACATACATACATTACATTACATTACATTACATTACATTAAATTACATTACATTACATTACATACATACATACATTACATACATACATACATACATACATACATTACATACATTACATACATTACATAAATTACATACATTACATACATTACATACATTACATACATTACATACATTACATACATTACATACATTACATACATTAAATACATTACATACATTACATACATTACATACATTACATACATTACATACATTACATACATTACATACATTACATACATGCATGCATGCACGCATGCATACATACATACATTACATTACATTACATTCCATTCCATTCCAGTCATACATACATGCATACATACATACATACAAGACATACAATACATACAATACATACATTACATACAATACATACAATACATACAATACATACAATACATACAATACATACAATACATACAATACATACAATACATACAATACATACAATACATAGAATACATACAATACATACAATACAAACAATACATACAATACATACATACATACATACATACATACATACATACATACATACATGCATACTTACATGCTTACATATATTCTTACATACTTACATACTTACATACTTACATACTTACATACATTACATACATTACACTACACTACACTACACTACACTACATTACATTACATTACACTACATTACATACATACATACATACATTACATACATTACACTACACTACACTACACTACATCATTACATCATTGCATTACATTACATTTACATACCATTACATTACATTACATTACATACAGTACATACATTACATACATTACATACATTACAAACATTACATACATTGCATGCATTACATACATTACATACATTACATTTATATATATATATATATATATATCTATATATGTGATATGTATACTGTATGATGATAATGGGATATGTATATATTTGTATAATGGATATTAATGGATGTACCCTCCGGCAATCTAACGTGGCTGAAAAATCTATCGTTCATCAAAGGAAGTTGGGAAGCAATACTTCCGTGTTACGGACAAATAGAATTCTGAGACTTGAATTGGTGAAGGGTGGTGCGCGACTGGGACTTGACCTTGATGAAGGGTGGTGTGAGACTTTACTCTACATCACAATACATCAGAAAAGTATTGACTTTCATGAAGGGTGGTGTGAGGCTTTACATTACATAACAATACATCACAAAAGGATTGACCTTGATGAAGGGTGGTGTGAGACTTTACATTACATGACAATACATCACAAAAGGATTGACCTTGATAAAGGGTGGTGTGAGACTTTACACTACATCACAATACATCAGAAAAGAATTGATTTTGATGAAGGGTGGTGTGAGACTTTGCATAACAATACATCAGAAAAGAATTGACTTTGATGAAGGCTGGTGTGAGACTCTACACTACATAACAATACATCACAAAAGGATTGACCTTGATGAAGGGTGGTGTGAGACTTTACACTACATCACAATACATCAGAAAAGAATTGACTTTGATGAAGGGTGGTGTGAGACTTTACATTACATAACAATACATCACAAAAGGATTGACCTTGATGAAGGGTGGTGTGAGACTTTACATTACATAACGATACATCACAAAAGAACTGACCTGCATGAATGTTGCATGTGCTATGTTTTGGGGAGGAAGCCGGAGCACGAAACCTTGTGTTTTTCCGTGTAAAGTGGCTGCAGCCGGCGATGAAAGGTACCTCGTGTGTGCGGCGGGTGCGGCTTCGGTCGTTTCATGCGCGAATGGGTTCCTCCTCTGTGTTCTGCAACAAGTGGTTGTTCCTGTGTGCGTAGTTCTATGCGTTTCTTGAATCCGTGGTGGCAGATCGCAATGGAATGGCTGCATGATTGTTGTCACCTGGTGTTGCCATCTGCATAGAGAGATGCGGGTTAGCGACCTGATGCTGCGAAACGCATTGTAATGGCTGCGTCAAGGTTGCTTGGTACCGCAGCTGCATGCGTAATACCATTGTCTTTTGCAGCTGAAGATCGTAAATCGTATTGGAGTGGCTGCATCCAGGCTGCGACAGTGATTTGTCAGCAGATTTTCGCAATTTTGGTGCTAGTAATTTTGAGCTGCAAGTTTCGACGCCGTTGCGCGTGGTTCTATTGTGTTTTGCAACGCAGTTTCTGCAGATCGCATTGTGATGGCTGCGTCAAGGTTGCTTGGTGCCGCGGCTGCATGCGTAATACTATTGTCTTTTGCAGCTGAAGATCATAAATCGTATTGGAGTGGCTGCATCCAGGCTGCGACAGTGATTTGTCAGCAGATCTTCGCAATTTTGGTGCTAGTTGCTGCGAAACGCATTGTAATGGCTGCGGCAAGGTTGCTTGGTACCGCGGCTGCATGCGTAATGCCAATGTCTTTTGCAGCTGAAGATCGTAAATCGTATTGGAGTGGCTGCATCCAGGCTGCGACAGTGATTTGTCAGCAGATTTTCGCAATTTTGGTGCTAGCAATTTTCCTTTTATTTTTTTTTTAACGTGCTTCAAAATCGTCTTTTTTCTCCTTTGGCGTCGAGATCCGGTTTTGGAGCTGCAAGTTTCGACGCCGTTGCGCGTGGTTCTATTGTGTTTTGCAACGCAGTTTCTGCAGATCGCATTGTAATGGCTGCGTCAAGGTTGCCTGGTGTTGCAGCTGCATGTGTAATACTATTGTCTTTTGCAGCTGAAGATTGTGATTTGTCAGCAGATTTTCGCAATTTTGGCACTAGTAATTTTCCTTTTAAAAATCCTTTTAAAAAGTGCTGCAAAATCGTCTTTTTTCTGCTTTGGCGTCGAGATCCGGTTTTGGAGCTGCAATTTCCGACGCCGTTGCGCGTGGTTCTTTTGTGTTTTGCAACTCAGTCTCTGCAGATTGCATTGTAGTGGCTGCGTCAAGGTTGCTTGGTCACAGTAGTACTGGGAAGTAGTTTGTGCAAGCTTTGTAGTACACAGTAGTACTGGGAAGTGCTTTGTGCAAGCTTTGCAGTACAAAGTAGTACTGGGAAGTGTTTTGTGCAAGCTTTGTAGTACAAAGTAGTGCTGGAACGTGTTTTGTGCAAGCCTTGTAGTACAAAGTAGTTCTGGGAAGTGCTTTGTGCAAGCTTTGCAGTACAAAGTAGTACTGGGAAGTGTTTTGTGCAAGCTTTGTAGTACAAAGTAGTACTGGAACGTGTTTTGTGCAAGCTTTGTAGTACAAAGTAGTACTGGGAAGTGGTTTTTGCAAGCTTTTGTAGTAGACATCAGTACTGGGAAGTACTTGACATGAAAATAGCCAAGAAGAACATAGCTGACATATGGGAAGACATGGAATGAGATGAGAAGAGCTCAGATGAGATGAGTTGAGATGAAGTGCAAGTGTGAAGTGTGGAGTGTGGGGTGTGAAGAATGCAATGTGAAGTGTGAGGAAAGTGTTTGCATTGTATCGGGGTCGCGCGCAGGTCATGTTCTTGGACAGCAACACTGCAACAGCTTCGCACAAAGCACGCACGCACGGGCCTGGCTGGCGCACGGCGCATGCAAGTTCCTTAGTATTAGTACTGGGAAGTGATTCATGAAAGCTTAGATGACATATGAGAAGAGATGAGATGAGAAGAGATGAGCTGGGATAAGGTGAGAAGAGCCCAGATGAGATGAAGTGTGGAGTGTGAAGGGTGCAGTGTGAAGTGTGGGGCGTGAAGAGTGCAGTGTGAAGTGTGGAGTGTGAAGTGTGGACTGTGAAGTGTGAAGTGTGGACTGTGAAATGTGAAGTGTGGAGTGTGAAGTGTGAAGTGTGGACTGTGAAGTGTGGAGTGTGAAGTGTGAAGTGTGGAGTGTGGAGTGTGGAGTGTGAAGCGTGAAGTGCGAAGTGGAGCTTCAAATGTGACATGTGAAACAGGACACCACTTTCGAAGAATGCATGCACGCACGGGCTTGGCTGGCGCACGGCGCATGCAAGTTCTATAGATGAGAAAGGTCTTATATATATATATATATATCCCTAAGGCAACTTCCGCCCCGCCTCGTGCGGGTACTACTGGTACATGATCAGCTAGAAACTCGCATTTAGTTCGTGGATTTTCCAGCCACGTTTGATTACCGGAGGCTAGTATGGGATATCAACCAAACAAAAGGTGGGTTGTCCACATTGGACCCCCCGCTTTTGAGCCAATATGAGTTGTAGAGTGCCCACAACTCTTGGCATCCTGATAGTGGAAGCCCAATATCACATCTTCACATTTTGGCCAAAATCCATTCAATGTCCCCATTTCTGATGCTTCGATTTTTGGTTATCCTCCAACTGTGCCAGTGACCACCAACTGTGCCATGGTCACAACATGGCATATGGGTATGGAAATCCCGAACTTGATGGATTGATAAGCATCCCCCATGGCATGTGCCCGGGTCACCCCAGTGCTGTCCGCAGAGGTAGCGGAGAGAGCGACGCTTGACCGCCTCAGGTCACATGGTGGTAAATAGATGTAAACATTCAGATATGGAATATCATTGCTATTTGTATCATAGGAAAATATCATACATATGTGTATCGCATTTTACTGCGATAAATGCCTGCCTGATACCCATCTTTGGCATAATTATCATTGCATCACTGCCAGCTACAAGCCCAACGGTTTTGGAGTACCCATAAAAAAGGGCACAGTCAAAGCTAAAAGCACCAAGACCTTGACCACAAAAATATGTCTATGTCTATGTTGTTTTCCAAACTAATTGGAGGGTCTAGGTGGCCCAATTCTCTATCTGTATATCCCCATCTCAAAAAAAACTCATTGATCAAACGGCCATCAGGTGCACGGTTCTCAGGCGAGTGCTTAACCACCGGGTACCTCCCAGGTTCTCCTGCAGAGCCGTCATGAAATTTTGGTCATCCTGTGCGAGAACGGAGGGTCGGATGGGATTGAAGAGTTGACTGAACCCCAGCCGAACAATGATACTAGATAGATAGATAGATAGATAGGTTAGGTTAGGTTAGATTAGGTTAGATTAGGTTAGATTAGGTTAGATTAGATAAGATAAGATTAGATTAGATAAGACAAGATTAGATTAGATTAGATTAGATTAGCTTAGCTTAGCTTTGCTTCGCTTAGATCAGATCAGATTAGACTAGATTAGATTAGATAGATAGATAGATATGTACGCGTTGGGAATAAAGGGTCTACGTGAACCCTTTTGAGTACGAACAAATAATATGAAACCTTAACATTGTGCACAATCGTGCACGGCGATTCTTGGAGGCATTGGTGGTCCGGACGCGTTGATGCTTTTCAGGATCAGCTTCAAACACACCCCGAGTCAAGAGTTCTGTTCGTCTTCTCTAGGGAAATTCGATCGCACAATACATACGAGTACCAGTATGTAATGTATATCATCACAAGAGTGAAACAAACGCCTCTTAGATTCTCAGGTCATCTCAGGTCATTAGTTTTCCATCGTTTTCCTTCCCAAGCACACTGGAAGCGTGGCATTCCCCGCCTTGGTCGCAGGGCCACCTCAGGCAACATCTGTGTCCCGCCGTCCCTGCCCTGGATCATCCCTGACAACCAGCTGTGACACCAGACCCGGGAAGTCGAAGTTCCTGGGTCCAAGGTCAATACCTGGGAAGAGCTGCACACAGGGACAAGTGAGATGGGAAGGGCAATAGTTTGTACAGAAAATAATTATATCATGTATATATATATATATGTGATTTATTATATATGCTTATATATGTGTATTAACACAATACAAGACATTTCTAAAAAATGTGGCTGTATTGGTATCTTACTCCACAAAAAACCGATCCTTGAAAACTGTAAATGACTTGTAAAAGTCATCAGTGGAGCTCCCATCTCAGGCGGACTTTGGCACCCTTTGGGGCCTTCAGCCACCCGCACTGAGGAGAAGCACCGGTCAAACCCACGTCAGCTTGCTCTTCTTTGGACAAACCTCACCAGACTGCAGTGTCTGCAGTGTGAGGCCGAAGAAAAACACTTGAAAAATGCGTCGCAAGATAAGGAATCCCATTTGGGTCCCAAAAATTTAAGATCCCGCTGCCAAACACTTGTTCATAGACAATTATGCGACGTGTTCCATGTGTTCAACATACAATGAAGTGACATATCAAATCAATAAATTCAATAAATATCGACATTCATTTCACACTACATATATAATCATATATACATACATGTATATATATATACAGTATATATATATATATGCTTCACCCGATCAGAGCATCATTATAGGTCTTGGCTACCGCAAACCACATGAATCCAGGTGTCAGCTGCTAAGCCTCTCACTGCCGTGACCTGCCGTCGCATCGCTCCTGGGCGTTTTGCTGGGTGTCTTTTGATGGCCTTACCCTCTGGTAATTTGACATAGCTATTGAAAATGGCTATTTATAGTGAATTTTCCCATTAAAAATGGTGATTTTCCATAGCTATGTTAAATTACCAGAGGGTAAAAAAAGAAAAACGAACCTCCCCTGGATTGCGTTTTGGCTGAATCTGTCTACAAGCAAAAAACAATGGTGATCAAAAAAACACAATGATATCCATCCCCACATCCCAGTAAATTCGCATGATATTCTCATGTCCATTCCTTAAAATATTCCTTCATCCCTATAAAATGGTGAGTTACCCTCTGGTATTTAATATAGTTATGGAAACTGCAGCATTTACAGATGCTTTGACCTATAGATGATCATAGATGGTTTATAACCGGAGGCTAATCCATCTATTGATGGTTTATATTCTCATATCTATTCAACTATTCCTTCTATATCCCACCATAAATACCTGGTTGGTGGTATGCCTACCCTCTGAAAAATATGACTTCGTCAGTTGGGAAGGATTATTCCAAATATCTGGAAAGTCATAAACTTCCATGGTTCCAGTATGTTCCAGTCACCACCAACCAGATTCATCATGGTACTCCCATAATAATCCAGACCATGTTCCAGTCACCACCAACGAGATAATTAACCACTATTAACCACTGGTAAATCATCAACCATCATTAACCATGGTTTCATCACCCAGGTATTAACCTCTGGTAAATTAACATAGACCCTGGCGGTCATCGGGGTTGGAAGATTAGTTTCCATTAAAAATTGGTGATTTTCAGGGTCCATGTTTATTTACCAGAGGGTAACCATCATTATACCATCATTAACCATCATTAACCATGGTAATCACCCAGGTATTAACCATCATTATACCACCAAAATACTGTCGGTTTATAAAGGGCCAGCGGCTGAACCGTCTCCGCCGCCGTGGCCAGGAGACCAAAGATGGGCCAACCCGAGGTGTAGACCTCGGGTCCAAGCGCCCATCTTTAACGGCCAGTCCATGTCCATGTTTGAAAGGGGATCTGATGGGATATACATGTGGATATATAATTATAAAGTATTATCATTGATTATATTGTATATATATATATAAGCTTATATTATATATATATATATAATTATACGTTTTTTAATATATATATATATACATTATTTTGGTTATCATTGGGTATCCAATGATAGTTTCAGGAGGATGTTGCTGATTCCATATTATACCAATATATCATGATATGAGGGACCCTATTTCCTCAGGTTTGATATCATAAATACTATGTTTTTAGTGTATAAGCCCAAAAATAGTCAAACTGGGCATGATTTGTTGGTGTATATGTATGTATATATATATATATACACATAGGCTCACCACCTTAAATGACACATTAGATGGCTGTACCACTGGAAAACATAACATGTGGGTCATTTATATTCATTTATATCATCAATATCCATCAATCATCTAGCTGAAATTGAATTTGATGTATACTTTTTAGTAAGTTTAGTCCAAACTTGGATGTTCTGCTCCTCGGCCACACAAACAGAAACAAGGCAGCTTCCCCACATTATAGCGGCGGATCCAGCATACCTATCGAAGCCTATCGAACCTGGCGATCATCCAATCCAGGATTGGAAGTTCTACCTAAATCAACCTGGCGGTAGATCACAAACATGTTTTGAGGTGTTTTACGCAAGCTACAAATTCCATTGGATTCCATTGGATTCCATGGAAAAACCAACCTGAAAAGGTTGCAGTTGCTTTGTGACGTCACGACGTGAGGTCGTTGTAACTTATATCTCGTGTGTTGACTGCATGTCCATTGTTGCCCATGTGTGTCATTGTTTCGCCAATTTTCGCCATTTCAATGTGGTTTTCCTCAAAAAAAAAAAGGATCACAACTCAAGAAGATTGAAAAACATGGGACCAATGGTCCAAACATGTGAAAAACATGGGTGTTTAGATGTCTGACTGGCGAGTGGTTCACCAAGATTTTTCTAATCCAGGCCGCGGCCTGTATGAATGTCTCAAAATCTCCCAACAGAGTAGTGGAAAACCTCTCTGGTAATTTAATAACATAGCTATTGAAAATGACCCAGTCGAATAGTGGTAATTTTCCCATGAAAATCATGGTGGATCTTTCCAGTTCGCTATGTTACCAGAGGGCAACCATCTCTTGGGATTTCAGGCGTCCCAGTAGGATAACGGGACCGTCTTCTGGAAGGTGACGCCGCCAAAAACGCTGGTGCCTTGTAAGGCAAAACTGCTGCAGCAAAAAAGGTGACCGGCCCTGACTCGAAATTTTTTGAAGCCTTCAAAATGAGCGTTGAAACATTGAAATACCGTGAAATACCCCCATGTAGGCCCCAAAATCAAGAAATCCCAGTCACAAAACCCAGGTTTCGATTGGGAAGTATTGGGTCCAGGGGTTGGGATCTTGAACCAGTCTACCATTGGTATTTGCCCAGGACAAACAACCCCCATTGCACCAGGTTCTGCGACGGATGAAATGTTGCCGTTCGCTGGTCTCCATGAAGTGATAGGCGAAAAACCTCGCGTTTTTTGTCGAAGGTCACTGAAAGAAAAGACCTTCACAAGAAGGATGGGGTATAATTCAGCCAGATACTGTATGGGGATGTATGGGCTACAGGTTTATATGTTGGATATAAATTAATTTAATATCATAGGGCCCTTTAATGCGGGTAATGGGCGTGTAGAACCAACACATGGTGAAGGATGTCTTTGGTGGCCCCGTGGTGATGTCGTGCTAGCTCACCCGGAATGTGTCTGGCCGTGAACCTTGAATCATCTTGAAACATATATCTAAAAAAAGCTGAAAACAAGAGCCTAAAACCAACGAAAAAGCATACCCCTGTACTCCAATGGCTAGAAAAAAACAAAAAATGTTCAAGAAAAATCTGCTGGCTGAGTCAGTTCCCATCATCCATCATTTCCAACATCCAAACATCCACCGCAATCGTTTCATTGCGAGTCGTCCAGGGAGACGGCCAAGGGACCCAAATGCAATGATGCCCAGGTAGCAATCGCCCTGCATTGGAGCCTGGGAATCACTGTTTTTCCAAAAACCCGGGACTTTCAACCGGCAATGGAAAATCACATATTTATACATAGAAGTTTATACAACAATGCGTACATATATATACACACACATACATAGATATGATATATGTAATTCTACATATGTAAATTATATACTGTAATATGCTGTATATATAGAGAGAGAGAGATAGAGAGTAGATTATTACCGGTGCCCCAGAGTTTCCCATCCAAAACTGAGACCCAGCGATTTCCCCAGTGTTTTTCAACAAATCCAGAGCTATGGACCAAAATCACCCATGGTTTTACTCTGTTGAATAGGTAAACCATGGGTTAAAGCTGGTTTTTCTATTGGTAAATTCATTGACTAATCAGTTGAATAGGAAAACCAATACAGTATAAATCATTACCTAACAAACATAGTAATTATGATAATGACCAATTAGTACATATACACTCGCCATGACTTCCAGCTGTTAGTCATTACCAGGTTGATCCACTGAGGCCCCAGCAGATGCCAAGTCCAAGAGCTTGTCCACCTGATTCGACGCAGGAACCAGGATCCACACGATCCAAACCCCGTTCGCAAGGCCAGTTGGTCCCATGAAATGTTGATGTTTTGCGGCTGAGTTTTGAAGTACCTATCTTTTCAAAAATGGGGAATGCTCCAGGACTCCAGTCTGAAACCAGCTGCAGGGAATATCTGATGGGCTTTTCGGCTTTTCTCTGAAAATCGGGCCCCAAAAAATGGTTTACCTTGTCCAGGAAAGTAAATGGTGATTGCAAATCGCCAGCCATTCTGCAGATTCTTCATTGTTGCTGTACCTAGTAAGCTATGACTGTGGTACCTTCGATGCACAAGAATCATCTTCAACAGCCATGGAATTCGCCTCATGCTCTCGCGTGCGCTCCGCCGGAGGAAGCACCAAGTTGGTCAAGAAGTTCTTCATCGCCTGCTGTCGGCTGTCGGCTGCCGCGGCACTCTGGCAAGGGGCAAAAAAAAGAAGCTGAAGGTTTGGTCGTTTGGCTCCCATCATCATCTCAATTGTTGAGATGGAAATGAGATCACCAAAGAATTCCAAGGATATCTGATCCTCCCTGATTTTTGGGACGGTCCCCAGGCCCCTCATCTTTGTTGATCTTTCATCACAACCCAGGAATCCCATGACTAGGGCTTGCCTGAAAATAGGGTTGCCAAATTCCCATGGTTCATGATCAATGGCCATTTCAGGGAGGTACCTACCATATATAAGGCCTATATATTGGAGGATTTATGATCATGTTCACAATGAAATTGCCACATTTCGGATACATCCCAGTTTCAGACAGACTACCCCCATATGATTATGTTTCCAGAGTATAAGTATCCTCTGCTCAAGCATGGTAAACGCCCGAAAATGATACAGAAATCCAAATCATTCGCCTCTTCAAAAATCGGATTTCTCCATTGCCATGAATTGCCATGAATTGCCATGAATTGCCATGAATTGCCATGAATTGCCATGAATTGCCATTTGCTGAAGGCTAGGTACCGAGAATTTGCTCAGAAAAACGGGTTGAAACCAGCATCATCAGTTATGTAAACATCGCTTGAGTTCAACTATATTAATTCAGAAATATATATATATATACATCATATATAATAGCTACGTTTAAAAATACAGATTTTTGAATATACGAACTGGTATTTTAGACCTCCAGGAAGAATGTCCTTGGCGCACCTGCTTGACCCAGGGCCAGTCCACGCCATCACTTGAGCGTTGCACCTCCGCCGCTTCGAAAAGATCAAGAGATCACCTGTTTCAAAGGTAAAATTCTGATTTCCCATTTATTTAGTGTGAGAAATTGTGAGAATCCCCAATGTATTTAATATACCAGCTAGTGTAATCCACTGTAATCATCAAAAAGGGGCAAAAAGAGTACTGCTCAAGAGTCAAATTCCAAGAGGAACATCAAGTTCCAAAATTTAGACCCCCTTTTTGCCGACCATTTCACACAAAGACGCCCAAAGAAACGAATCTCATCCGGGGGTGTCCAAAAATATGATACCTCGAAATCCAAGGGTATTCATGAAAATCTATGAATATGTCCCTACATTATTCATGATTATGATTGTCCAAACACTATTTCCAAATCATGGGAAAACCTACCGTAATTGAAAAATAATGGGAAATATATGAAAATCATTGAAAGCCATGATTTTCTTCATCCATCAGTCTGCCATAGTGAAATACCCATAAATCACCCATACATCCCAAGTTGTCGATGAGTTCATAGGGTTCATCCCCAGTTTTACTGGGATGAATCACGAAAATCAGGAACCCATTGTAGGGATACAACCCATTCATCCCATCAATCATAAATCCATATTACCCTCTGGTAAACTAACATGGCTATTGAAAATGACCATAGAAATAGCGAATTTTCCCATTAAACATGGTGATTTTCCAGTTCGCTATGTTAGTTTACCAGAGGGTAATCCCATGAATGACATGATAAAGCCACTGATGGAATCACCCACTGTTTTAATCCCAGCCCCGCCTCAGCATTCATCATCATCATCATCATCTTCATCATCATCATCATCAATCATTAATCAATCATTAATCAATCATTAATCAATCATTAATCAATCATTCATCAACCATTAATCAATCATTAATCAATCATTCATCAATCATTGTTCCATCATTAATCAATCATTGATCAATCATTAATCAATCATTCATCAATCATTCATCAATCATTAATCAATCATTAATCAATCATTAATCAATCATTAATCAATCATTAATCGATCATTAATCAATCATTCATCAATCATGAATCGATCATTAATCAATCATTAATCAATCATTAATCAATAATTAATCAATCATGAATCAATCATGAATCAATCATTAATCAATCATTAATCAATCATTCATCAATCATTCATCAATCATTAATCAATCATGAATCAATCATGAATCAATCATTAATCAATCATTAATCAATCATGAATCAATCCTTAGTCAATCATTAATCAATCATTAATCAATCATTAATCAGTCATTAATCAATCATTAATCAATCATTAATCAATCATTAATCAATCATTAATCAATCATTAATCAATCATGAATCAATCATGAATCAATCATGAATCAATCATTAATCAATCATGAATCAATCATGAATCAATCATTAATCAATCATTAATCAATCATTCATCAATCATTCATCAATCTTTAATCAATCATTCATCAATCATTCATCAATCATTCATCAATCATTAATCAATCATTCATCAATCATTAATCAATCATTAATCAATCATTCATCAATCATTCATAAATCATTAATGCATCATTCCTCAATCATTCATCAATCATTAATCAATCATTCATCAATCATTCATCAATCATTAATCAATCATTAATCAATCATTAATCAATCATTCATCAATCATTCATCAATCATCAATCAATCATTAGTAAATCATTCAATCATTAATCAATCATTAATCAATCATTAATCAATCATTAATCGATCATTAATCAATCATTCAATCATTAATCAATCACTGATCAATCATTCATCAATCATTCATCAATCATTAATTCATCATTAATCAATCATTAATCAATCATTCATCAAACATTAATCAATCATTAATCAGTCATTAATCAATCATTCATCAGTCATTCATCAATCATTCATCCAACATTAATCAATCATTCATCAATCATAAATCAATCATGAATCAATCATTAATCAATCATTAATCAATCATTAATCAACCATTAATCAAACATTAATCAATCATTCATCAATCATTCATCAATCATTCATCAAACATTAATGCATCATTCTTCAATCATTCAATCATTAATCAATCATTCATCAATCATTAATCAATCATTCACCAATCATTAATCAATCATTCATCAATGATTCATCAATCATTCATCAATCATTCATCAATCATTAATCAATCATTCATCAACCATGAATCAACCATTAACCAATCATTCATCAATCATTAATCTATCATTAATCAATCATTAGTCAATCATTAATCAGTCATTAATCAATCATTAATCCATCATTAATCAATCATTAATCAATCATTAATCAGTCATTAATCAATCATTAATCAATCATTAATCAATCATCATGAATCCATGAAAATCTGAGCAAATTACTTCCCACCATAAAGCCATTGTAGGCCACACAGCCATCTCTGCCTCGCAGCTCAGATCCGTCACATCTGCGACCTCGCCACAGAGCGAGCGCAGAAAAACGGCGTTCGTCCATAGGGAATCGTTGGGGATTTCGCTGGCTACCCTTTTGAACCATATTAAACATAGCCCATAGGATCCATGTATGGTATATATGCTAACATTGGGGGTATATTGATGGTAAATGTCACCATATATAGCATACATGGATCCTATGGGTAGGGAAAAACTATGGTAAATTCCTATGGAAATCAAAGAATTCATAAGTTCAAACGCATTTTAGTGTTGTTCATTGGATTGGTTTAAGGGAAATGTTGCAGGAACGCCGCATATTTGATGGGAACAACCATATTTTCCGGTTAAGATGTTCCATTCAACCAATCCAGTGAACAATGGGAATGGATTTCCTTGATTGATGATCTACATTATGGATTTTCCATGGGGTTTTCCATATCTATGGCTAGTTTACTGAAGGAATCCATAGGTTTCCGCTTCGTCAATGATCTACATGGTGGACGTTCCATAAGTATGTTGGAGGCACAAAAAGTCATGGACTGGGACTACCGCAAGATGGTCTTACAGTAGAGACCCTAAGGAGTGTCCCATCCATTTGAATAGGAAACGGCGAAATAAGCCATTTTATACTACAGTGTGAAAAGAGAATGGCTGGATTGCAATGGGTAAAATTCACTTCTCTGAAAAAAAAATGATTGTTCAGGCCATTTGTGGGTTGACAAGTTCATATTTAATATCATAAGTGTTCCGGTACAACTCCTATATCAAGATATTCTCATCCATAAGTAGATAGAATACGGCAATTTTCAAACACATTCCCATTTAGGTGAGGAGCTTTTGAAATGGATGTCCATATCTATATATATATATATACACATATTATGATATTATATCTACGAGCATATATATATATATACATACTATATCTGATGATCTGATGAATGCCATCAGATATAGTTTATATCGAGTACTATATCATATAATATATACATACATCAAATAATATACTATAGTTTATATCAGAGATAGTTTATATACATATAATATCATGAGTACTGGAGGGGATTCCCCCCGTCTCTGGTCGTCCAAAACCTCCATGCCCTGCCTTGACTCCGCGCTCGCAGTGCGGACCTGATCTGTGAAGTGGCGGCGAGGTGTCCAGCGAAACTGGGGATTCACCATGATTTCACCAGCAAAAAGTGTGGTATAATTGGATATTCATGGTGATATTCATAGGAATCTCGGAAATTCAGGATGTAATATGATGTAATATGATGTAATTTGGTGATATCATGGAGATCGAACTCACATCTGGTGATTTTGTTTCGCGCCTTCGCGTCCGAACAATCTGAAAGTCACCTGGGATCATTCCATATGAAGTTGAAAACAAAAAACAGTTGGATATGGCCTGGGTCAAAATAAGGTGCCCCACAGTCAGATGGTTGATACTAAACATAGAATAAAATCTAAAGTCCTAGGGTCGTAAATTTCGACCCATGCCCATTTGAAACCACCACCCAGGGTCTTCTTCTTGATCCATCGCTGAGCTTGGCACAAACCCACAGGTTGTATTCCTTCAAGCGCTGCCCGCAACATACCTGCAGCACAATTGGCTTAGCCGCAGAAAGTCTGAAAACTGGCGAGCAAATGTGTAGTATGAAGTATGTATATATATATTATATATTATATATAGTTATATACATATAATATATATTAACCGTTAAACCTGAATATCACTTGCGTATATACATATGCAATCATATGCATATATGCTTATTTACTTTTACTTATCTCAAAGTATGTATATACAAAATATACATTCTGTGCATATCTGAAGTAGGGTACCTGTAGATCCGCTTCGCATCATTCTCCGATGGAAATAAAAAAGCCCCGGGGCCTCCACAAGGAGCAGCAGCCACGTTTTGCTCATGGCGGACGCCCAAAGTGTTGGCCATTGGTGATTTCAAATGGAGCCCCAGTCGTCACCCAAGTCGACACTAAACCGTAAACCAGGCAAAACTGTTCAAAATATGTCAAAATAACCAAATTCCTGGTGAAGTGATTTTATATGGATGCTGGACAGAACCATAGGGTGGATGCTGGCAACCTTTCTTCTGGCTTATGACCGTGCATGCTGTGCAGAATCACAAGAGGGGAAGATTTCAAGCCCTAAATCAGGGTGGCATAACTTGAAAGGGCACCGTAAATCAGGCATAACTTTCAAGCCCTACGGCCATGGCCGCCATATCCCATTCCATATCCATGGGCACCTCAAAGTGGGACCAACTGAATTTTGGATACAAACCTAGAAACCGAGGAACAGCTTTATCATGGTTGATCTGCAAATGGGGCACCCCCAAATCCCATGGCAAAATCCCATGCTTTGGAGGAACATCCCCTAGTTGGTGGGACAAACCACGGTGGGACATCTAGTGCTGCTCGCATCTCCCGTTTTGCCCTCTCGTCTGCTCAACACCTCACACGTGACGACTGTACTGGAGAAAAGCCTCCGAATTCACTACTGAGAACCGAAGTTCGGCAGAAGAACTAGGGACAGAGACAAGATCTCTGCTTGTCCGCAGTCTAGGCTGATCAAATCATGCAGTGTAGATGACTGCATTGCATCTACAAGTGCACATTCTTCTATATACACATTTCAGACTCGCTGTGCATATCTTGGAGGTTCAGTGCACAAAACCAGGAGGCTTCCCCGTCTATGCGTGAGTGGAGAGGCACCAGCAGCCACCAGACACTCCGTTGCAAAATTGCAGAGCAAAGATGTCTGTGGCCCTGCGGCCCTGTGGCCGAAATAGCAAAGAGAGTTTCGGGCAGAACCGCTGCATCAGAGAAAGCACCCTGCTGACCCATGCAGGAACCGTCAACACATTGGAACCCCAAACATCCAAAAGCTTCATCTCTGACGCAGCTAAATAAGGCAAGGATCAGAATCAGATTACATAAACTCCAGGTTTCAAAAGCCGAGCTCCACAATTCCAGTCAAAAATGGTGCTCAAAAGGTGTTTTCTTTTTTCGCAAGGAAACCCTAGGTGTCCGCTTACTAAAGCTCATATAGATCATGTAGATATTATATAAAAACCTGATCAAAAAAAAACTACTGCTGTGAAAAGCCGCAACTTCCCTACAACCTGGAGTCCGGCGACGCAACCTGTGTGCTGCACGACGACCGCAACAGTCAGATATCTTTAGATGCCCTCCGGTGACCCGTGGTCGTCGTTCGGCTTTTCCTGGCCAACACTTGAGAGCTTTGACCGGGGCTCCATACTGGTCAAATGAGAAGTGTTGATCATCAAATATAGCGATGGATCTGACCATGAAATCCAGTAGCTCACGTCAAAATAGCAGATGCTCATGGATGTTCATTCCTTGATTCATATGGGGAATGATAGGTTTAGTTTGACCAATCGCCATACTGCACAAGTTTGGAAGCTGAGACAAAACATGAACAATGATAATGCCAACCGTGGATTTGAAAAGCTTGACAGATCCAGTATTTCAAGTAGGAGATTTACCCCAGAAAAGTGATCCGCTACATCCCATGGCATCGAAAAACAACCCATAGTTGCTATCCGGGGGTTGACACCGAGCCGATGAGGTCAAGGGTCTTTACAACTGGCCGAGTTTCCATGGACCCTTACTGCTGTAAATGCTCCTATTGTCGCGCCATGAATTCCAATTCTTATCCCAGGTTTCAAATCTCGATCTTGGTGGAACCGGTGATGGTCCATCTGCCACATGAAGCCGCAAATTCTGAATGTGTTTTTTTGACTAAACCATTCGACTTTTGAAGTTGCAGCTTTTCTTGACCCATAAGTCGCTATCTTGGAGGCCAGGGACAACTGGATACCACTTGCCACTGGAGACAGTGCAGGCCTCTGACGCCGCCGGGGCTACCTCCTTTTCCTCCTCTTTGCCTCAGACCAAGTTCTTCAACCACATGGGGTCTCATGGGGATTCAACCAACCCCCCCAATCGGTGTCCACTAAGCCCGATGGGTGACCTTCGGCCGGTTCAATCCCCCCGTGACAAAAGGCTGATGAAGTTCGTAAAGCCACCATTTCTGGGAAGCAAAAAATACCCAATCTCCCAGCATTTCCCGTGACCGAATTCCTGATGTCATCAGGATTCGGTCACCATTTACCAAGTACCAGAAAGCGGGGGAGTCTACTCCTTACTAATCAACGAGTCAGAAAAGGATGTCCATGGGCCAAACATCAGGAATCCATCCTTGGTGTTCAAAAAACATGGACGTTTCTCACAAATGGGGACGCCCCAACTTATAGTTTACCCTCTGGAAATTTAGCACCATGGAAAATGATCCATTTCCAAATAAATTTGCCGACAAGAAATTGTGATTTTCCACTTCGCAAACTGTTAGAATTACCATATATAGCAACCCCCCAAAAAAATGCCGAACAGTTGGAAACATAATCGAACTACCCTCCTAGAAACATTTGTTGGCATCTTTTTGGGGCTTACCGTAGGGTTAGTTCTTCGTCACATCAGTATATAATCAAACCCAGTTAGTGCAACCTCCATTAACAGTATCAATCTATATTCATCTAACAAATGAAACTATGATTTAAAATGGATGTTTAGCTCTTACAATGAAAACACTGTATGTATACATATATATATATATGGTCCAATCAACTGTATTTATTGAATTTCACGAGGTCTTGGGGTTTTGGGATTTTTAGGTATATTGGGTTTCAAAGTCAAAATGCATCATTTCGAGCAACCTGCGCGCAGAAGGGTCGTGAGGAAAAGTGTTGAATGTTATGATTTTTGTTGAATCAGTGGTCCACAAGTCCAACTGGCGTTCCAGAGAAACTGAAACAGTCGGAAACAGTCGGAAACAGTCGGAAACAGTCGGAAACAGTCGGAAACAGTCGGGAGCGGCCCGGCGTGATCATGCCAAAATTGTCAATCCGCCATTAAGGGGAAAAAAAACGTTCCGCGCAATCCCTTTTTTTTTTGAAAGTGCAACGGGAAACAGTTGGAAACAGTTGGGGCTCGTACCTTTGACTCGGCAAAAAAAGAGCTATTTAAAACCAGTTTATAAAGAAAATGAACCTTAAATGGTTTTAAATAGCTCGTTTTTTGCCGAGTCAAAGGTACGAGCCCCAACTGTTTCCAACTGTTTCCCGTTGCACTTTCTGTTTCCCGTTGCACTTTCAAAAAAAAAATGGGATTGTGCGGAAAAGTTTTTTTTGCAAAAAAAATGGCGGATTGACAATTTTGGCATGATCACGCCGGGCCGCTCCCGACTGTTTCCGACTGTTTCCGACTGTTTCCGACTGTTTCCGACTGTTTCAGTTTCTCTGGAACGCCAGTTGGACTTGTGGACCACTGATTCAACAAAAATCATAACATTCAACACTTTTCCTCACGACCCTTCTGCGCGCAGGTTGCTCGAAATGATGCATTTTGACTTTGAAACCCAATATACCTAAAAATCCCAAAACCCCAAGACCTCGTGAAATTTAACAACTGTATTTTCAATGTATATAATATATATATAGCGTTTTTTAATAGATTGATGATTTTTATATCTAGTGTATTACTGAGCTATTTACATTAACATACATTCACCTCTATATCTAATCTGTATACATCACCATCCCGCCATCCCGCCATCCCGCCTTCGCCGCCTTCCACACTCGCGTTGGCATCGGCCTTGCCCTCCTTGGCCGCGCGGCGCGCGGCCGCACGCTTACGCCTGGGACAGGGTCCTTGGAGAATGAATTCTATATTATGATATATATATGAGAAATATGGTATATATATCCGATATATATCCGATATATACATATATGTATATATGTAAATATACATCATATATGTCTATCTATACATATACACATGCATACATTTCTATTTATAAATGATATGTGTGATTCCAACGGTATATATGATGTACTTTAAAATGTTTTGTATGTGGTGATATATACATATATATATATGTGAATATTTATATATGTATATATATGAAAATACATAAATATATATATATATATAAATATAAATATGAGTGTGTATATATATATATATGTCTGGATATATGATTTAAAAGTATATGATAGGTTTATATACATATATATATATATATGGTAAAACAAAAAATGCTATTTATATATACATGATCGAAGGAAGTTTAGAAGTCAAACTTCCGACAATATGGACAGATGGAAAAGCAGAGGTGGTAAGAGTCAGAGAAGAGAAGAGAAGAGAAGAAGACAGAAGATCAGGGAAGAGAAGGAGTTAGAAGAAAGAAGATGTAGGTGCGCAACAAGGTAGGAAAGTCGCGATTCACTGTGTTTTTCCAATGAATTGTGGCTCAGGAGGGTCAAAAAGTAGGCTCGCTAAAGCGGCGGGTGCGGAGCCAGCTGGCCAGATGAGAGATGAAAAATTGCACGCCGTTGTGGCGCGAAGCACATTTCGAAGTGAAAATGTACAAAGCACCTCAGTGTCGGACCACTTTTGGAAGTTGAGATGTCGAAAAAGTGCACGCTGTTGTGGCGCGAAGCACATTTCAAAGTCAAAATGTACAAAACACCTCAGCCTCGCACCACTTTTGGAAGTTGAGATGTCAAAAAAGTGCACGCCGTTGTGGCGCGAAGCACATTTCGAAGTCAAAATGTTAAAAACACTAGTGGTTCGGACCACTTTTGGAGGTTCAGATGTCGTTTCGCGTGGCAGGCGCAAGGGATTGTGCACCTCTTCAAAAGTGAGCAAAACGTGAGGGTTTTGTAGCATTTCCAAAAACGATGGCAGGCATGGGACATTTGAGGAGGATATGCAAAGATGCATACAAAAGACGTGGCAGGAAGATGTACGTGCGGGAGAAGGTAGAAAAGTCGCGATATGATTTGTCGCGTCGGAGGGTCGAAAAGTATGCTCGCTAAAGCGGCGGGTGCGGAGCCATCTGGCCAGATGAGAGATGAAAAATTGCACGCCGTTGTGGCGCGCAGCACATGTCGCTGTCGAAGTCAAAATGTACAAAACACACCAAGGCCGGAATCCTCTGCTTGCCCTGTTCCACCCGAGGTTTTGGGCTTCCGAGGTGCCAAAAACATCAACACTTACAGTGTTTTTTGGTCCCGAATGTCTTCAAAAATTGCAAAACACCGCAGTTTTGGAGGCCCAAGCAACAGCAGCTACGACAACAGCAGGAACGATTGGTGCCCGCCGGCGTGCGAAGCCCTACAATAAATTATTTAAAATTATATATATATATAAGTATATATAATATATATATATATAATATATATATATATAAATATATAAATATATAAATTTATATATATATAGAGAGAGAGAGTGTGTATATATAAATATATATGGCGTATATATATATATATATGTGTGTGTGATATGAGATGATATGATATAACATGATGTGACATGATATGATATGATATGGCATGATATAATATGATTTGATTTGGTTTGATATGATCTGATATAAATATATATATATATGAACTCTATGATCAATGGATTGGTTTGAAGGAGAGTGTTGAGCCGAAACCAGTGCTTTTTATTATGAAATAAGGGTTTCCTATAAACCAATCCAATGATATGATATAGTATGTATTTATATTTATATTTATATATATATATGCATGCGCGCGTATCGCATTACCATTCCCATATATTTGAGGATATAGCATTAATGATATTGTATGATTTAGTACCATGATATGTTAATTTATGGCTATGGCTCAAACAACGGTATGGATCTTTCCGCGGTGATCCCGAGCTACTGAGAAGGTATACTAAAGTGGCCTGGTCTGGATCGTGGCTATGGAACGCCTGGTCCAAGGTATGTATCAGGGCCTTACATTTTGAGCCGCGGCCATATACATGTGTATATATTTGTTTTTAAAGGATATATATATATGTAAATATACATGATTCATGATACACTTACTATGCAAAACCCCCATATGTGCTATGCAAGAATAAGGGGTCTATAAATCACCATGAAAATGGATTGGTGACCCCGGACTGGGTACCTCCCACCTGGCCATGGCGTGATCATTCAGCAGTTGCAGCACTGCGTCGTGCGAGCCGTTGACGTTCCGTTTGCGTGCCAGTTGGCGCGCGGACCAGCCAGATGCATCCTGGCTGCCGCGCTTGGAACATTTTGGTGCGCCTGAAAAATGTCCCATAAAGTGGAATGAAATGGGTATATTGTAAATTGTAAAAGAGAATACTATAAACGGACGGTATATAATTCTAATTGGTGCCATACATAAATATCATAAATAGGAATATAGAACTAAGAGAAGATGATACACTATGTGGATGTGTTGGAGAATTGGGGGTGGCAATGAAAACAGGGAAAACTATGATAAGCCATGGGATTTGGGGGTACTCAAGCGACCATATAAAACAGTCCTTGTTTGGAAGGAATGTTCCAATTCGAGGGTCCTAACTTGGAGGTACCATCCTTTTGTAAACCCTACCCAGCACCCAACCTTCCACTTACAGCAACTTGGACATGGAAACTCGAGAATCACGAGTTTTTACCGCAAAGTCACTTGTGGGAAGGCACTTATGGGAGGATTGTCTATGTGAGCAAATACGGCCAGCAAATGTGGCCTCACATGTCAGTCCCTTCGTTAAAGCCCCATGTTTTGCTCCCTGCATGTTTAGTGGCTGGCCACCCAATCCTGTACCAGTGAGTTGGATTAAGTGAAAAACATGGAAACCCAAGACAGGTTTGAAGCACATCGTTCAGACTACCGAACCAAGCGAACGATGGTTTCTCATGGTCCCCAGGTGTTCATCCGCCCTCCTTCAGCTTGGTCTTGGCTTTGAAATGGAGCAGGATACGGATCATTTCTGCCTCAGCTTAGCAACTGGTACAGCCGAGCCACCCTCAGATGTCCTTCTGGGAAAACTTGAGGGGTCTCTATACGACATGCCGTGAACAAATCCCACCCACCCGTTTTCAGGCCCATTTAAGCACTTCAAACAGTTACCTAGGAAAACCCGTATATTTTTTTATTGTATATTGTACTTGTTGTACATACTCTCCGGTAAACAAACGTAGCTGTGGGTTTTCAAATTTTACGGAGCTAACCTAGACACCAGAATAGGCTGCCAGACTAGCATGTTCCCCAGAGACCCTTAGCTATGGTCCCTGGGGAGAGGCTAGCCACCACTGGGTAGGCCCTTGGCTAACATAGCTATCATATGATTTTTCATTTTACGGGCAACTTATTCCTGCAGTCCTTGGGGGAAGGGGGGTAGCCACCACTGGGTAGGCCACTGGCTAACATAGCTATGGCTTTTCATTTTATTTTACAGAGACTAAGTTGCTCAAAATCACCACCAAAGGGCCTCCCGGCCAGATCGGGCCCCAAAAATGCATTTTTGAATGGGCCGTGCTATTGAAATTGATCGGAAAAAAAGGGCTATGAAAATCAATTTTTGGGTTCCTGGTAAAATGCTCCACTGTGGTCCCTGGGGGCAAGCCAGGAAGCCCACTAACATGGCTATCATTTTGTTCTCCATCGCGTGTATGACATAGATTTATCAAAGAAGGACGCTGCTAACATAGCTATCCATTTTTTTCCTGGGATATCACCATTTTACAGAAAACTAACCTGGAAAATACGTGTGTTTTACTAAAGTTTTTTAAGGGACGTTAGTGTACCAGATTGTACATATTCACATATTTTGAATGGATATAAATCGCCACGACTGATGTTTCACACTCAAAAAACAACACCGTGGCCGGCGTCGCCACCCTTGAGACGCCCACGTCGTTGTCCTCGACTGCAGCGTGCAGCGGGAAACGAAAGTTGAAGAACCTCGGGCTTCAACGAACGTTTTGAAAGATCTTGAAAGCATAGAACAGGAACCAGCTACCAATAGCTACCAGATTGATCCAAACTAAAAACATACAGAAGCCAGCTACCAAATTGGAGTTTTGAGTGGCAAAATCATCTGCCAAAAGCATCTCATCGATGACGCAAGTTGGTTGGTTGCTTCTCTTGACTCTTGACACAGATTCTTTAAGGATATCCAGGAGAGGATAGCAGTCCAAGACTTGCACCCAAAATCCACCATTTCCAATGAGTTCGAATCAATCTTTCCACTTATACAGTATTACAAAAATTGGATGTAGACAGGAATTCCCATGAATAGCCAGAAAAACTAACTCTCATTCATTCTATAATTCTATCCCCGTTTTGACATTACGATGGGTATTTCACCTATATTGCATCTCCATTTCTTGAATGAATCTCCATTTCTTTGTTGGTTAATTAATCCCCCATGAATCGCATTAATCAAATCATCCCATGGAAACCAAGTAGAACCCGCACAAGGCGGGTGACGGAAGTTTCCAGCTGCAACTGCATCAAGACGATACTTCAGGAACATGCCAACTGGACTTGATGATCTTTGCGCTACTCCTCTACTTCAGGAACATGCCAACTGGACTTGATGCTCTTTTGCACTACTCCTCTACTTCAGAAACATGCCAACTGGACTTGATGATCTTTCGCGCCACTCCTCTACTTCAGGAACATGCCAACTGGACTTGATGATCTTTGCGCTACTCCTCTACTTCAGGAACATGCCAACTGGACTTGATGATCTTTGCACTACTCCTCTACTTCAGGAACATGCCAACTGGACTTGGTGATCTTTGCGCCACTCCTCTACTTCAGGAACATGCCAACTGGACTTGATGATCTTTGCGCTACTCCTCTACTTCAGGAACATGCCAACTGGACTTGATGATCTTTGCACTACTCCTCTACTTCAGGAACATGCCAACTGGACTTGATGCTCTTTTGCACTACTCCTCTACTTCAGGAACATGCCAACTGGACTTGATGATCTTTGCGCTACTCCTCTACTTCAGGAACATGCCAACTGGACTTGATGATCTTGTGCACTACTCCTCTACTTCAGGAACATGCCAACTGGACTTGATGATCTTTGCGCTACTCCTCTACCTCAGGAACATGCCAACTGAACGTAATGATCTTCTGCACTACTCCTCTACTTCAGGAACATGTCAACTGGACTTAATGATCTTTGGGGCTAACGAAAATGTTTGTGTCCGCAACTCGGAGTTTCCTCCATGAAACGTTCTTTGATCATTTGAAATCTCCATGTTTGGCATCCGCAGAAAGCTTCCTGAGCTTCCGGGCCAGCCGCTGCTGCTATTCACGTCCTTGAAGCGATGTCGCCTCAGTTGATGGTCGATTACTGCATCATGCTGTTGGCAGGGCCACTCTTCGATACGAAAAGTTGATTCTTATGCAAAGCGATGTCAATCAGATTCCATCAGACTGGTTCCAAACTTCAGGCGAACCAAGACTGGGGGATAGGTCGTTCTCCTTCACCTCGATCAGTGGTAAATCAGTGGGACTTGCTTGAAGCGGCCCCACACATCAAATACAAAAAAATAGAAACAGATAGAAACAAGATAGAAAAAAGATAGAAAAAATGTCATGGTCCTTTCGATTCCTCATGTAAATTGGCGAGTTCCCATTGGAAAAAAGGGGAAACAATGGGAAACACCTTGACTTCTCCAAACCCAGGAACTTCATGAACTTCAACAAACGTTCTCGACGGCCACGGTCTTCTAGAGCCTGACCCACAAAAAACATCGCGCTGCTGTCGCTGGTTTCAACCCTCCTGAAAACTTGTTTAATTGTTTGGATCGGAAAAAAGATATGAGGAAATTCAAGATCATATATCTATATATATATACACGGTATTACACGGTATTACACGGTATATTGTATATATAGTACAGTATGTAACAGTATGCGTATATGAACATAAAATATGTACCTTCCGGCAAACTGTGGAAAGCCATGGTTGTTTCCAGCTAGGAAAAGCTGGATCTACAAATGGTGGATGGTCATGGATTGTGTCTGAAAATGGGCAAAACATGGCAAAACTACCCATTGCCGATTTCAACTGAAACATGATCAAATTATATCAAATTGATCAATGATATTGGATCAACCAATTTGTTTCCCCAACTTTTCAGACAAACCCCCAGTTCACCATGGAGTTTACATATGGATTCTCCATGGTTTAAACCATGGTATTTTTAGTCAAGGCGTGGTCGATATGTCGATGGCCTCCTGGGCCTTGGTCCAAAATTCCTCGTCTTCCTGCAGATCCTCTGCTGCCTTCCTCACCAAAATCATGGGATGATCCACTCCCCCAGTCATCACGAGCTGGTATAGCTGGTATAAACCATTCCCAAATGCTTGGTTTACGGCATTGTTTTACCCACATTATTCCCAGATGAAGGATGCAGATTTATCAGATGGCTGTGTCTGAAAATGGTGTGTTTACCATGGGATTCAACCACCCTCGAATGGCTATATGAAAATCTGGAAAAAATGTGGAAATGATGATTCAGACAAACACCGTAACGTTGAACCTGTTCATACCTGTTCTATCTTCATTTCTGTGAAAATCATGTGAAATGTAGAAAAGCTGAAATATAGTGGGAATATGTCAATCTCTTCTGCACCCTGTTCAACAATCCTTGATGATGGTGGGTTTCAAGTCTCACATTCTTGATGATCTTGATAATGGGTGGGTCTTTAAGAAAAAACTAGCTAGAAAAAATCATGGTGAAGGCGGTTGAACCTGAAAATGAATGAGTGCAAATACAAATATGTTGATTCGAAATCAGCCATCATGGAAGCAAAGATGGGAAACAATACATTACTACCAAATCGATGTAATCCAATCCCCCTCCTATTGAAAACACCCCATATGGATCCATATGGGCTCAAAAAAAACAATAGATCCAATACACAATCAGGGTTTCAAAAGGTGGTATTTAAATAGATGGGAAAAAAATGTATTTAGCATATTTTAGTATTAATAGGGGATCAAATTAGGGATCCAAGACTCTGCAAAATGCGATCAAAGCCCATGTTTGTTCCCTTTCTTCAGCTTGTTGGCTGTGTTTCAAGCCCATTTCTCTCATCTTTCGTGCTGAGTGTGGCAGAAATCCAGCCAAGCTGTTTCAGGAAATCACCATTTTTGAAGTTCGGTAAACCATCTATTTCTATAGGCTATCTAGACCATGGCTATGTTAAATCACCAGAGGGTTATTTATTCTTTCTTTTCACCTTAAGTAATCCCCAAAACCCCCCAAAACGAAGAAATGAACACCAGAAACCATGGATGATCCCTGGCTGATCATGCTGGATGATCCGGTGATCCAAAACCGCCCAAATTTCGCGGTCCTGTTCGGTGGGATGGGGTCACCACCATCGCTATCGCAAGCATCCTGAACAGCGGCGCGCCACGGATGGGTAGATCCCCGCCACGGGGTCGCCATGCATACAGCTATATACAGCTTCATAAAGACTTGGTTTTCACACCAAGAATGACTAGAAGTTGGTCATCTTGGAATCTTTCCTGATTGTGTTCTTGCAGTCCATCGCCACGCAGACCAATATCCCGAGTGGCATCCCAGCCTCATCATCTGAGAAAGAAGCTGCGCCAAAAACCTGATCATGATGAAGACAACCCACTTAGTAATCGAACATAGCTATGGAAAATCACCCATTTATATCCATGTATAATCATTTATAGATGATTAAGCTGATCTATCAAAAATGGTGCTTTTCCAGTTCGCAAATTGTTAAAGTAACTGAGGGTAGAAATCAAATGAGGACATGATTCTCAGCTTTTTTCCGCCATCAACAGAAAGATGGGGTTTACAACTTCCTCGACGAAAAATACCTGGTTTTGTTGGTTTCAATCTCACTTGCAACGTTCCAGTCATACTGGAAAAAAAAAGTGGATAAATAAACCGCGGTTTTACGGCGCTGGGACCTGCATAGGTGGTCCCTACCAATCGAATTTGAATCATGGGGTGAAACATCCTGGAAAGGAGAAAAAATCGGTAGTCGAAACTGGCTCCCAGATGCTACAAGTACCACCAATCGCCATCGTCGTCAGGCAAACTTGGCAATGGACACTCAACTATTTACAAATCACTAGTCACTAGTCTTATACTGGTATTTTCGTATGACAAATGCAGATTTTCCCAAGCCCCCCAGGCCTGCGCTACTGGGATTGCCTGGTTCTGGGGCTCCATGAAGCTTCATGACCATGGGAGCATGGGACTTTGCGGGCATCAATTTGGGGGTTGACTCCCAATTTCCTGAAGGATATCTCCATTTTTCTGATGATATGTACAGTCCTCTAACTATGCCACAACTCCCAAATGCTTTGCCTGTTTCCTGGCCTCAAAAACATCCCGCTGAACACAACCGGATCAAGATCATCCCACTGTTTCACACATCATCAGACCCTTCATTAAGACTGAAAATAACTGTTATCATCATTTCCCTTCAAATTTGGGGATAATGGAGATAAATTCCCTTTGTGTAGTATATCAATGCTGTCGCTAGTATGTTTTAATTTGTCGGCAGTAGAGCCCTATGCCAATGACTAGTCTATGTATATCATTCATTTGGGGATGATGTCCCTGTAAATTTATATCCTTCAATGTATATCATTCATTTGGTGATAACATATCTTAAAATTATAGTATATCGTCATCCATATATTATAATATTTCACTACCCTGAAATAAGGCCGCTGTTCCCCTGTTATTTGCCAGACCACACCCCCGTCAAGACACAAGGCGCAGCCTGGTTCCTGAAATAAGGCCATTTGGGGATGATTCCCCGAATCCAATTCCCATGATTCCAGTGAGGTGACAGTGAGGTCACTATAATTCACCCAGATATCTCATTGCATCCATATTCCCCAGACCAGTTCCCATCATTTGCGTCTGAAAATGGGCTATATCATGATATATCCCTCAACATCTAGGGAAAATGATGATAAACATTGATAAACCACTAGATTTGCACTATATTCAGACAAACCCATTTGAAATTTGGCAGTGTGTCAAAACCTTGTACCCCTGTAGTTCACATCAAAATAGCTGGTAAATGGATGTTCATTCCCCTAAAAATGGTATGTATAGGTATTGATCCATAGCCATTTGGGGATGGTTTCCCTATTCCCCATGGCACCACGTTCAGAAAGCCCGGGCACCGTGGATTCTCTGGACGGCTCGGCTCCACGTTTCTCCTGCCGTTGAAGAAAATGTTGGAAATAACATGTGTATGTGTATAAAAGCTTGTCTATGAAAACTATTTATGTTTTTATTGTGTACTGCAATATGTATATATATATATATGTACATATATATTGATATATTGATTGATATATTACTTTACAGTCTTTTGTGAAGACCACAAAATAGTGATGCTTCGGAATGCGGCCAATGATTGATGTTGATCGCAGCACCTTGGATGTCTCTCAAACCATCAAACTTTCAGAGAAACTGGGCTGCAAAAAGAGAAAAACCCACGAAAAACCCCTGGGGTTTCATAAATCCAAAAAAGACTGAAGCTCCGGTAATTTTTCAGAGTTTGCTATGAAAGTGATGGCCCATCTACAGATACTGTACCTGTACTTATTAAAGATGTTTATTTTCCATAGCTACGTCCATTTACCACAGCGTCGGATGGAAAATCAGCTTGTCATTGTTGCCCCTCAGAAACGTTGGGATGACAAGCTGCAGAAACGTTTTCTTTAGCCCAATGTATCCCCATTCATTCTGACCCATTCATTCATTCTGATATGGTTTGAATATGCGACATATATATATATATAACCCGCAAAGTAATTTAACATAGCTATTTTTAACATTAAGAATGGTTAGCCATGAAAAAAGATCACTTGCCATTCACAGAATGAAGATTGTCAGTTCGCAAAGTGTTTTTAATGACCTGCCTTCAGGTCGCCCAGTTCTGCAGAGCCCCTTGAGTCCAAAAGAGTAGACCTCGGCGGGCGTCCATTGAACCATCCAACATCATCCAACTGTTGGGCTGACGAATCTCGAAACATACCATAGCTGGGTGGTGGTTTCAACCTACCCCTCTGAAAAATGATGGAGTTCGTCACTTGGGATGAGATGACATTCCCAATATGGAAATTCATTAAAAAAAAACACAAAAGCCATGTTAACCACCAACCAGATTAATCATGGTACATAATAATAATCCCATAATAATCCCATAATACTAGTGGTATCAAATATCATACCTAACTGTTTCTGTTTGCAGGTTGAATCCTCCATGTAAAAATTGCTGGTGGCTTTCGGGGCTTCACCCGAGGCTCAGGCAATTTGACACCTGCCACACACGGAATGCGTGGAATGCGTGGCTGCGTCAAAATCTCTGGGTCTCGAAATTCTGAAAATTGATCATAAGTAATTCTATGACTATATAGTACAATGGTACCATATATTATATAATTGTAACTGTAATGGTGCCACTATATTAATCTCAAGACTTGATATAGTTACAATTATCAATAATTATCAGAAGTCTACTATGTTCAGGGGAAATGCCACATTTTCAGACACCATTTATGTCATTTGTTGGTTCGATGTTCCGGTTTCCCATGATCCCGCCTTCAGTGAACATGTCTTCGGTGCTCGACTGAGTCATGGCCAGACAGGGTCCGGGGAAATCGCTGTTCGTCGGCGGCCGACCCAGCGCAAAAGGGCGAAGACACCAAAGAAAACCCCTCTGCCAAGCAGAAATTCGTTGAATTTTGCACTTGACATATCATTTACATCATCTTGTGAGTTTTCTACATATACGATGATGAAAATCAGGTACAAGATGTCAATGTTGCTCCCGGAGTGTTTCTGAATCTTGGTGCTTCTCTGCAATGGTTGTTGTCACATGCAAATCTGTTCCTTTACACCGAAGGCAATACTCTTGGAACAAGGAGCTGTACGGCAGAGAGAGCAGATGCTCAGGAAGATCTAAGGGTAAACAAACATGGCATGCAAAGTCCCAAGTGTATCCAAATGTGTAGAAATTGTAAATTAAGATTGTTAAGATATTGTTAAGATATTGTTAAGATTGTTTGAGACACTAATGGATTGTTTGTCTCTGACCATAGCAACTCGCGAAATCGCCCGATTGGTAGATGATTTACCTGTCCCCCTGTATACACCAAACAGCAACTCGTTCAGCGATCTTTGTTCCTGTTCACCTGTCCAAGCCCTCATTGCCACACGTCCTGATGGCCAAAAAAGTTGGATTTCACCAAGAATAAAGGGAGGTGACCAAAAACCGAAATGGAAAAATTGGGAGTTCACCGAAATTTGGAAGATTTAATTTGACAAAAACACCAAATGACCAATATCCGGGTGGTGACTTTGAGGCCCGCGATGGTTATGTTGAGTGATGCAAGCATCCCACCGGAGCTTTTGATCTGTGGTTGATCTTGGTTGCTTTGTGTTTCGCCTCACCACAACGGCCATGTTCAGAAGATGTCAAATTCATGGCGCAAGAGAAACAGTATCCTCCCGTGTCCTCCAACGTTGGGAAATCCCCTAAATGAGCATTAAATTCGAAGATCATCTATAAAGGGGCCATGTTAATCTGGTTGGTGGTTTCAACATGTTTCAACCATCTTGAAAAATATGAGTTCGTCAGTTGGGATGATTATTCCCAATATATGGAAAACTAAAAAATGTTCCAAACCACCAATCAGTAATGTTTGATTGCCAGAGCGAAGCTACTGCGGTGGGCCCATCAAAGTTGACCCAAACCTATCCATGTCCTTTGGGAAATATCTTCTGCCAAGAGTCGTGAAAAAATGGGCTTGGCCCGTTTTCTTTAGTCAACCTACCAATGGGAATTCAGTACAAATACAAACCTATGGCATCCATGCCCTAAAGTCTCTCTTTTGTCTCACATATCCTCTTCTTTCCCAAAACTATTGCCGGATCTGTCAGAGAACACATAATCCTAAACTTCCTAAGCTAGAAATCGTGATTATACACCTCTCTTTTCATCAATGAATATTTAGAGCTTTAGAGGCCGCCATCTTAAGCCTTGTCATTTTACAAAATCATGCTTACACCTCTTACTTCGTCAAGCAAGGGCGGTTTAGGACAACAAAAAAACTACTGGTGGAAGGTTCCAACCTGAAAAATCATTAGAAGTCATTGGAGAATGGACCATCCTCCTCTGGAATTCCCTTGATGGAATCTCTCTATGACTAATAGGTTATATGATGTTATATGACTACAATAGGTTCTTTTATAGGACATGTCCCCCAAAAAAAAAACTCAAAATTGGTCTCACCATGTCTCAGAGGTGCCCATAATAAACCCATCTCCCCAGAAATCCAGCCATGCCCTCCATGATTTTTTGATGATCTCCATGATCTCCATGATCTCCCGCCTTGTACATCATGATCTCCCAATTGTCATGGCAGGATGCACAGCTAGCAGGGACGATCGGGGGCTCCAAACATGGTCTGAAGCCAGCTGCGCCTCCGAGGCCGTGCCGGGCCACGGCCGGAGCCCGGAGACGACCACGGGGGTCCCACGTTGAACAATGCGGGAGAATAAAAACATTTCTTGGGATTTGATTCGAGATTATGTGTGTGTATGTATATATATATACATATATATATATATATTTATATAGGTTTATAGATGTTCATGGATAGTTCAAGTTGTTGTTTCGTATCGTAATTGAACATATTTGGCCCATTGAGTTCCAATTGAATCCAATTGACATGGATTTAACCAGCCTTGACCCCCAGCTCATTCTTGGCAGATGGACAGGAATCAAGCCCACGGAAGCGCCATTTTGTTGTTATGGTTTTTCGTTCGAAATACCCAGAGTTTGATGCATCCGTGAAACTCACCCCAGCCAGTGGGTTGGTTCACCCCAGTTATAGTTGGACTACCCTCTGGTAATTTAACATAGCTATTGAAAATGGCCATTTATATTGGATTTTTCCATTAAAAATGGTGATTTTCCATAGTTATGTTAGTTTACCAGAGGGTAACCCAACTCAGAACTGGGCTATCACCTAGTCACTAAGTCACTGCGGAGAGCTAAGGCACCCAGAGTTGGATCATCCCAGGCAGCAGAATCTGTGCCAAAGGAGTACCCCGCTAAAGGATCCTTTTGATAGGGAAGAGGAGTTCTTATTTCGAGGCTCCAACCCCATGTTTCATATGTTTCTGCTTGTCTGATAGGGTACCCTCCGCCGTCCTCAAACATGTCTAGATCGAAAATCCCCCTTCAACAGTTCGATGATATTGCCATTTGCCATGAAGGTCAGGGATTTCTAGGACACCATAAGGTACCCCAAAACCACTGTTTTGCTCAATAAAAAAAACACTTGGATGATGAAAATCTCAGGTCGCGGCCCATCTTGTTCAGTGCTGTAACAGGGTCTCTGGCCAAGCACGCATCATAGAGTTCGTACTGAACGTGTGGTAAGTTCCTGCCGAGCCGTTTTCTTCTTTGCCGCAGGGTCGCACAAAAAAGACACAACTAATGTGGTCAACCCAGCGAGGAAGGATAGTATCTCCCAACTGTAAACATTTGGTAAATGGATTGTGGTTTGTGTTGGGTTTACCTTACCGCCTTGCTCGGGATGGGAATATGACCACGTCCACCAGATCTAATTTGTCACATGGATGTTCCGAACCACCGTGTCTTATCCGGGCAGGATGTTGTTGGACGCGGCTTTCAAACTACCACAGCTTTTTTTTGTCAAAAAAAAACAGGGAATCAAAGATGGTCCGGGAAGTCCCTTATAATGTGTTGATTACATATAATCTCCAATATGAATCATTGAGTTCATCGATTTCCCAGCTTATAGTTACCATCCGTTCGATGATTTTCCGAGCCATAAACCTCCATTCATAGTGTGTGTCCCTTTATTTTCCGATCTCTTCATCTCTTCCTAGAGTTTTTCCCCTTGATCCATGATTTTCCTATAAAACCTCCATGTTTGTTGGAGATGGAGCTACAAAGCAACAAAGATCACTGGGGGGGCCCTTCCAAGGTCCACCTTCCTTGCAGTGTCCTTGGAGACGATACGATCCAATCTCCACTGTATTCTTGACCATAGCGCAGGCGAGCGTAAACTGGCGCCAGCCACGGCTTCAACAAATTGGTGGGCAATAGAGTCGGCCGATTTTGAGGACATGATGGGAACATTTTTTTGGATGGAATTTAAGGGTGATATGCATGGATACAATATCAATGACATTTGTGAAACTGGTCGCTTTACAGGGACTAATTGTGTTGAAAGCCGGGTGCGTCAAACACGGATGGGAGGTGCACGGTCTTCCTCATGAAGTTTCCGATTTCGGGGTGTCATGGCGGCTGGCACATTTGATCGAGACAATGTTGAGGTGATGCTGAGCTAATCTCTTGCACAACTTGTCATTCTCGGTTCAAACGAAACCAGTTTTGCTTGCAAAAAGTCATTGATGGAACGGTTCACTTTCTGGTGTCATTTGGATCTGGTCTTCTAGAGCACATGGCCAGCTGAACTTCAAAGCACCACTGGATCTAGATACAGCTGAAAAATTGACCTGGAATCCCATGGTATCCATCGGGTGGTTGGTGGTGTCGCAGTTTCAACCTCCCTGAAAAATCTATAAAACTGTATATACTCTATATTATATATATATAATTATATATATATAATTATATATATATATATAATTATATATATATATATATAATTATATATATATCTGTTTGGATGGTTTCAACCTGTGAAAAATCTATCAAATCTCATATGATCATTTTGGATCTCCAAATAAAGATGAGGAAATGCTTTTAGCGTTGCTCGGCGCCTCGATGGCTGTGGCTGTTGACCGAAAAGTCGGCTGCTTCTGCTTTGGCCTTGGCGCCAAGGGACGAGCGGCACGAACGCTGTTGCTGGTATCAATGGACCCGGAAAATCGGGATTTTTTTTAGCATTACCCTCTGGTAATTTAACATAGCTATTGAAAATGACCATTTATAGTGGATTTTCCCATTAAAAATGATGTTTTTCCAAAGTTATGTTAGTTTACCAGAGGGTAACTCCTGCATTTGTTTTAAAAAATAAGGGGGTTGATGAGTTTGACCCATCTTCGCCGAGATAGCAAGAAGATGTCTTCGAAGAAACCCATCATTCAGGGCGGCTCTGCTGATTTGGGGACACATCCCCACTTTTTCAAAAACGTTGTCCCCCATCCACCAGTCTTTGATCGCTGCCACGGAAAATTGGAGCCCAACAAATGCCTCAAGGTTTGGGGAACTTCCAAGAAGCCAGGCGAAAAAGAGAAGAGGCAACCCCTTCCGAAATGCATTTGGGTGTGTCTGAAAATAGTGTACCCCTACACCCAATGGTTTTGCTGATCATTATCCCTATTAAATGGCTATTTCATTGGGAATATACCCTATTTTCAGACAAACCATTTGAATACCCAAACAGATGCAACACTCTCGGCAATGCCTCATCCTCATCTGAAGCCCCTCTTCAAGCCGGAAGAAATTCATTGCAATGATCCACCCCAACGAGTTCCAATTCTACTCAATCCACCTCTCAGTTCAATGCGTAGATATTTCCCGTGTAGCTGTGTTCCATATTAGATGTCAAAATTGACCTCATTGGGTGCCGCAATCGGCTTGGCATGGGAAGTTTGTCCCATCTCCATCTTTTCCCTCTGGGCAAGTGAAAACCCCACTGTTTTCATCGGTTTTCCGAGCTTCAAGTCCGGCCATTGTTGCTGGTTCCCCGTAGTTCTTGGTGAACCCAAGAATCCAGTGTTTTGAAACCTCCTTGTCCCTACTATGTAAGATGGTCATTTTTGTGCGGAGACAACCCATGTCCGAAAGCCACAATGACCACGGTTCGTTGAAATATAAGCATCAATCAGCCAGACCAAACATACAGCCACATGCCAATCGAATCATGGGTCTGAAAATTGGTATATCCCTTAAATGGCCCACAATCCAAACCGTCAACGGATCCCCCAAATCCAGTGGTTTATCCATAAAAACCTGTGGCGTGGCAACCACCATCTGAGAAGAGGCGGACTTAGATGCTGAAAAATGTTGTCATCTGAGAAATACATAGAAATACCACCATTCTTAAGGACAAACCTCAATTTTTTCATACGTCGTTTGGTTCGAAAATAGACCCAATTGAATCGTCCCATGATATGAAACCATGAAGTAATTGCCATCAATTGCAGTGTAGCCATGAAATGTGTGCTTGTTTACTTCCCATGAAGCACTATCATTATCAAATATGCCCAATGATCCCATTTACAGATATATGTTACCATTCGAATCCATTTGATATAGTATATATACAGTACATTATTGTACACACCATTTGATAACATTATGATCTTGGGTTAGGTATTTGGGAGTTAATGGGTGAACTGCCATTTTACCTAATTACACCTTCATGTTTGTTAAATTATATCTTACCATTTCATCAAATATCCCCATAGAAACAATACACATGGATAATGTGTAAACTAGTCCATTGAATATTCCACGTATACTGTGATACATTCCATTTCATTGCATACATAGAATCTCACTGTTGCATATTCTATGTGCTATGTATTATGCCAACAACTAGATCCTATATTATTATCTTACAGTATTAGTAACCTCAACATCCATCAATATCCCATTACTGTTAACTGTTATTGTTAATAACAGTTACATCCCCATCTACTAAATCTATTCTTATTGGTACACTCTTAACATCCATTGATAGGATATCCCGATAATACATCCATTATGGTAATGTTGTAACAGTCCAATCATGAATATCACATACATTTGCTATTAATATTGTTATTAAGATATCCTATTGTTAACATTCAATATCCCATTCATTCATATACCAATATTCTTAATGTCACATCCATTTACATCCATTTGCTATTAACATCCATTCATATCCCCAACGATATCCTATTGTTAACATATCCTATATCATATCCCAATGATTCATAGTGAATATATCATTCATATCCTATTATCATTCATAATTAGTATTGTTAACATATCCTACTATTATCATCATTCATATGGAGGTCTCCATATATGGTGGTACCAAAAAAAATGAACGGTATATAATGGAAAATCCGATTAAAATTGGTGATTTAGGGGTATCCCCATTTTAGGAAAACTTCATATATTATATATGTTAACCCGGAAAAATATCAACTGGGATGCCTCTGGGATACTATAAAATCATATTACCCTCTGGTAAACATACAAAAAACTATGGAACATCGCCATTTTTCATCGGTAAATCAGTAAATCAATAGCTATGTTAGCTATAAATATCCATTTTCAATAAATATGTAATACTAAATAGCCATTTTATATTATTTTAATGGTAAATCACCTAGCCTATAACTCGCCATTTTCAATAGCTATGTTAGTCATTGCCAGATGGTAAACCTCCATTTTCCTATGGTTTTCCTATGGTTTTCCTATGGTGTTCCCATTAAAACCTCCATTTTCCTAGGGCATTTAAGGTCAGTCCCATCCCTGCGACCGTCCCATGGCCGGGGCGCCAAGTCGTTCCAAAGGCTCCGGAGCCAGGCCCCGGTCCCGCCGCCGGTCCTGACTGAGCGCCGGAGGAAGGTTGCAGATGTTGGAAAAGATGGAACATATCATGTTGGAATATAATGTAATATCATATAATGGAATATACTAGGGTATTACTAGGGATATACTAGGGATATACTAGGGATATAATGGGATATACTAGGGATATAATGGGATATAATATAATATAATATAATATAATGTAATATAATATAATGTAATATAATTTGTAATGTAATGTAATGTGATATGATGTAATATAAGATAAAACAATAGAGATAGGTACATGGATGGATGGATGGATTGATGGATGGATGGATGGATGGATGGATGTGTCTGCCCCCAATGTGTCATTCCACTTGCAAAAATAGTGATGAACCCGCAAAATTAGCGGCACTTCAATTATGTTCAAACAAACCCATATCAAAAACAACTTGTGTTGTGTGTTGGTTGTTGTGTGTATCAAATCATCCTTTGTTGGTCATGTTTTCCAGTTTCGCCCAAGAGTGTAGCATTCGATAAGATGAGATGCACGGACATGACGCAAGAAGCCGCAGCACACATTAGAAATTAGATGATCTTCACCTCCATCCCTTTCCCCCCCAAAAAAATACATTACGGTGTGAGTTTGGGGAAAATGTGTTCTTCAAAATGTGTCTGGCCCCAAAAAACTATAGATTTTAACCCATAGTAACCCCAAGAAAGATGCAGAAAATGGCGTGAATCAATCCATATCAATCCTCATACTGAAGCCCCAAAAGATAGAAATTGATATTAGGCATCCTATCTATTGATTTAGCACTCCGACCATCTGGACCTGAACCTGGGGTCTCCAGCATCATGGCCGCCTGCACGGTGGGCCCACCGATGAAGCCGTACAAGGACTTGAGGCCATAGAAGTCTGCCTGGCACAGCAGTTGTTTGTCTATATATTCATGTATCACTATATATATATAGTATATATATAGTATATATATATAGTATATATATAGTATATATATAGTATGTATATATATATAGTATGTATATATATATATATCATCATATATCTGTATATCATGATATGTCTATATCATTCTATATCTGAGCTATAGATTCGCTGAACATGCCTTTGATCAAGTGATGGGCCAGGTTTTTTCGGGATCTCGAATGGACCCAACTTCGAGCCATGCCTCCCTGAGCAGCTCCAAGCGATCTACCCTGGAGAGGCCTGAGAGAACTGAATGGGAGGTTGATCAGAAATGGGATCAGTATCCTATTAGGAACGTCAGGCCAAAATCTGGGATTCCATGCCAATGGGAAGTGTCCCATCTCTCAAGTAGTTCAAAATGTGATGAAATTGCCTGACGCAAGCGGGAAAAAAAAACATCTCCACCACCCATGAAAAAAATCAGGTGGTAGGGGTTGAAATCTCCCATCTCCTGCAAATCGCTGCCCACTGGAGCCATACGCCGAAACACAACTCCGGGATTGCGGTGCAGGTCGGAAAAACGCAGCAAGATACAATCCCAAAGACATCCTTTGCAAGTCTCTGGACTTGCAAGTGCCCTGTGATGACTCTAATGAAGTCTGACATATGACCCAGAGGTATACCCAAAAATAACCACAATTAGGGATGGTTTCTTATTATTGGTTTTGCCACATTGACAGAGGTATACCTCTAGATGGCGATCCATGGAGGTTTAATCTTGTGGGATACCACATTAGTTGGACCTTAATTTACCACATTAACAGAGGTATACCCATTTACCATGGGAATCCATAGGAACCCAATGGCCTTCCATCTCGA